AATAGTCTGTTTCTGTGCTAACTGACTCCATGACTCTAACTGTTCCAGTACAGCTACATCACTGGCATCTGCCCATCAATGTGGAAAATTGCCTAGGGGTACGATGTAAGCAAGGAGCAAGGCAAATCCAACTTGTCTAGTTACTGTTCCATCAGTTTACTTTTGATCATCAGTAAAGTGATGAAAGGTGCCATCGACAGTTCATTCAGGCAACACTTGGTTAGCACCAATCTAATCACTGATGCTTAGTTTGGGTCTGCCAGGGCCAGTCAACCCCTGACATCATTACAGCCTTGTTCAAACATGGACAAAAGAGTTGAATTCCAGGGGTGACCTTGCGATCAAGGCACTATTTAACCAAAACTGGTTTTAAGGAACTCGAGCAAAAGTAAATTCACTGGGAATCAAAGGGAAAGCCATCCACAAAAATGGTGGACTCAGAGTAGTATGGATCTTGCAAGTGAGATTCAGGCTTATTTCTAGATTTAATTCTGTATTTCTTACTTCATACTTTATAGTAAGTACATAAATAAGAAATGTTTGAAGGGAAATGAGCCAAGCCCAGGCAGGAGGGACTGGTTTAGTTTGGGATTATAGTCCGTATGGACTGGTTGGACCGAAGATTTTGTTTCCATACCGTATGACTCTATGACACTGGTTGGAGTCATCGCTGTCATAAGGAAAATGGTTGTAGTTGTAGGAGGTACGTCATCTCAAATCCAGGACAACTCTGCAGGAGTTCCTCAGGGTAGCGTCCTAAGCCCGGCCATCTTCAGCTACTTCATCAATGACCTTCCCTCCATCATAAGGTCAGAAATAGGGGTGTTTGCTGATAATTGCATAATGTTCCACAACATTCAGTACTTCTCAGATACTGAAGCTTTCGGGTCCAAATGCAGCACAACCTTGACATTATTCAGACTTAGGCTGACAACTGACAAGTAACATCTATGCCACACAAGTGCCAGGCAATGACCATCGCCAACAGGGGAAAATTTGACAATTGCCCCTTGACATTCAGTTATATTGCCAATGCTCAATCCGCCCACCATCAACATCTTGGGAGTTACCAATGACTAGAAACCGAGTTGAACTAGCCATATAATTACTGTGGCAAAAACAGCAGGTAAATGGCTAGGAATCCTGTGGCAATTAACTCACTTGCTGACTCCCCAAAACCTGTGCACCATCTACAAGGCACAAGTCAGGAGTATGATGGAATACTCCCTGTTGCCTGGATGGGTGCAGCTCAAACAACAGTCATGACATTTGATTCAATCCAAGTCAAAGCAGCCCAGTTGATTGGCATCCCACTCACATTTATTCCCTCCACCACCGATGTTCAGCAGTAGCAGTATGTACCATCTATGAGTTGCACAACAGAAACTCACCAAGTCTCCTAAGATAGCACTATCCAAACCTAGCACCACTACCATCTAAAAAGAGAAGGCCAGCATGTATATGAGAACACCATTACCTGCGAGGTTCCTTCCAAGCAACTCGCCGCCCTTACTTGGAAATATATTTCCACTCCTTCAGTGTTGCAGGGTCAAAATTCCTGGAACTCCCTCTCTATTAGCGTATGGGTGTTCCTACACCAAATGGACTGAAGCGATTCAAGAAGGCAGGTCACCACCACCTTCTCGAGGGCAACTAGGGACGGGTGAATCTTTCATTTAATTTTTTGAAAAGTGCAACAGGAAAGGCATCATTATAATTCATTAAAGTATTGCATGAAATTTCTTCTTCATTTACCTCAGACTGTTCCTATTGCAGTTATTAGTGGCAAATGTATAACTGTCACCTTTCAATCTGTGATCACAAAACTCTGTAAACATGATCCAAGATGGATAAAATTTATACTTGCACTGCTGAAAGCTTTTCACAGTTCTGACGGTCATTTCCCAAAGACCGTGCTGCTGCCTGGAAACTTTGCCTGCCAGCAACATGCATTGCAGCAAAATTACCCACTGCCCATGTGGAAATATCGTGTTCACTAAATAGTGTTCTGAATCGATACACTGCCCAGTAATCCTATTCCTTTCACTGTTTTATAGTGAAAAATATTGTTACTTTTGGAATTTTAGGCTTCATTTACATATGAAAGATTTTAGAACCCTGTTCAAACTAAAACATTCTGCTTTTAAACAGTGTTGGTCAGAAACAGGTAATATTATGGAGTCTGGAAATCAGGCAAAAAATGTAAGTGTGTCAGGTTAATGGTCCTATGATCCGATTTGATTTGGCAGACATAAGGTGCTTCACAATAATTTCTGTTTGTTTTTATGGACAGCATAGTGGAACAAGATGAGTGGTGCCCTGGGGTAAAGAGTCCACTTGACTGCTTGATGCTGTTGTCTTGATGTTAAATTTGATTATTGCTACATTAGGTACCTTTTCCCTTTAAATAAAATGGACATATTTTGTCTATGTATTATTGAGGTGCAGTACTGAACTAGTTCATTTTCTCTGTTTTTCATTATATTCAATGTGCTCACATTTTGTATGCTTACTTTGTTGCATGTATTTCCTTGTCACCATGTTTCCTAGGTTTGTGCACCACTAATATGTGAATGAGACTGAGATTCTATATGCCACAATACAATCTATGAGATAATATAAAAATTAAGCAAAACTGTTTGTTCAGTTGATTTAGGCGCCGAGGAGTGGCAGATGGAGTTTAATTTAGATAACTGTGAGGTGCTGCATTTTGGAAAGGCAAATCAGGGCAGGACTTATACACTTAATGGTAAGGACCCGGGGAGTGTTGCTGAACAAAGAGACCTTGGGGTGCAGGTTCATAGTTCCTTGAAAGTGGAGTCACAGGTAGACAGGATTGTGAAGAAAGCATTTAGTATGCTAGCCTTTATTGATCAGTGCACTGAGTATAGGAGTTTGGAAGTCATGTGGCTGTACAGGACGTTGGTTAGGCCGCTTTTGGAATACTGCATTCAATTCTGGTCTCCCTGCTATAGAAGGATGTTGTAAAACTTGAAAAGTTTCAGAAAAGATTTACAAGGATGTTGCCAGGGTTGGAGGGTTTGAGCTATAGGGAGAGACTGAATAGGCTGGGGGATTTTCCCTGGAGCGTCGGATGCTGAGGGGTGACCTTATAGAGGTTTATAAAATCATGAGGGGCATGGATAGGGTGAATAGTCAAGGTCTTTCCCCAGGGTAGGGGAGTCCTAATCCAGAGGGCATAGGTTTAAGGTGAGAGGGGAAAGATTTAAAATGGACCTAAAGGGCAACTTTTCACGCAGAGGATGGTGCATGTATGGAATTAGCTGCCATAGGAAGTGATGGAGGCTGGTATAATTACACCATTTAAAAGGCATCTGGATGGATAGATGATGGAAGGTTTCAGAGGGATATGGGCCAAATGGGACTAGATTAGTTTAGGATACCGGGTTGGCATGGATGAGTTGGACCGAAGGCTCTGTTTCCGTGCTGTACGGCTCTCTGACTCTGAGTTGATTTTAGAAATAACTTCAGTGTGCTCATTCACCTTTAGGAATAAATTGTCACCTGAAATAACTTTAAAGTTAGCTTTCTGCATGGTAAACATAATTCAGTTTAAAAATCTACACTGTGTGCAGAGCAGTCTTGACTGACCATGCACTTAGCAGTGGTGCTTAATTTGTTTTCACTGAATTATCGAAGTACCTGTATATTGTGTGCCTGTGGAATACAGCAGTTTTCTGTTAAGTGATCATTGAATACTGATCCACTGATCCACTGATTCTGCAGCATTCAAACCACATGTCTACTTCAGGGAATCATGGGGGAACATTATATTTAAAGCGTAGCCAGACATATTCTTGTGCAGGAGTCTGAGTTTTCTCAATGAATGGCCTGCTGCATGTTGAGATGGATAGCTTCTGCTGCTATTCAAAAAATGCTCTCAATTAAATCAGGCATATTGGTTGAGCTGGCATTAAGTTTACAAAAGGTTGCACATACTCAGATTTGCAGGTAATAAAAGCACCAGATTTGTTAATATTTTACATTACCTTTTAATGTGCAGTAATATCAGCACTTCTTTAAAAAAATACTGTATCCTAGCATCATTGTTTTTCATCAAGAGTGGCGATTTAGCGTAGTAGACATCAGTGTGGGGAACAGTAGTGCTGAGGAATGGTACAACCTGTATTTTGCAGTTAGTATCAGGTTATTCCAACCGGTTGTAGTCCAATAATATGCAGAATAAAACACCCTCATACCCTAAAGTGAAAAGATCACATGTATGGTATCTGTGATATTTTTCCACTTCTCACAGCTACCGTACCATAGCCTCTGTGAGTGTGGCTGCAGATGACCTGTTTTGTTATCCCAGATGGAAGTTGGCTAAGGCTGCCTCAAACTAATCTCATGCAAGAGCATTTTTTAGATTACGGACAAGACCAATTCTGATTAGTTGCTTGGATTTGTAAAGTCCAGCTGATCACTATGTCCTTTTTTCAAGAGGAGGAAACCTGTTATTCTTCCACAGTCTGGCTTTTATGGTGAGTCGAGTCTCCCATAAACATGCTTGACTCTTAACTACCCTCTGCAGCGGTTTAGAAACCACTTAGTTATATGAAACAGCTAGAAAGAATAACAAGAATAAAACAGGATGGACCAATAAATTTAAAATCAGAAACCGTGAAGACACACCGAGTCCAGTCATCTGTGCAGGTTAACTCCCATTAACATCTGCAGAATGGTAACAAATTTGGGGAGAACTATCTTACTGACAGTATAGCAACAACCTGATGTTGACATGCTCACACAATCATATTCATCAGTTAATGGACCACAGTGAGTATCACATTCAATCACGTTTATTGTATTGGAATTTTATTATAGGCTCTCTTCACTATATCGGAACCTTTATTCAGATAATCATTGCTAATTTCAGAATTCAGCTGCAGAATTTGCATTAGGTTTGGTTGGTTCTCAACTATATATTTTTTTGTGCGTGTTTTTGTAATTATTTTTATTTTCACCGCCGCTTTCAACAGGCTTCACAGACGCCAATAAAGTCTGCAGATCAGACTAAAGATGAGGAGAGACCAAAGCCTAAAGAATCAGCACCAGCTTCAACATGTCTGTTGGAGCACTGGCCCAAAGGAGAAGGACTTGGTTATGAAGGCATGGGACTGGGCATGGGACTGAGGGGTGCAATCCGATTACCGTCCTTTAAGGTGAGGGAAGCACAGCATCATCAGAGGACAAAAATATTGTTAAGATCAATATTATGGGAGATTTTCAATATCTAGCTACACTATTTTTGATACATGTTTTCTAATTTTAATTCCAGTGCTTGAAGAGTTTATAAAATTATAATTTGGGAAAATACCTTCATTCTGTGCAATGTTGGAAAATAACGTTCTGTTAAAATCTGCTTAACACACAGCTTTTCATTCAGTGTCCTCCCAGATGCTGCGTGTAGTCTTCAAAATAGCATTACTTTTTTTATGTGTTGTATCTGCTTAACAATGTGCTGATGAAATGTCTTCCTGATTCAAAATATCTAAATTTCCTTTGAAATGTTGGATTCCACTTTTGCACAGTTTCATATGATAGGTTGTGTTGCATTACTTTCATGGCTCCATTGATAAAATTGACAAATTAACCTCAACCTTCTCTCCCCTCCTCTCCTCTCACTGTATTGCATTTTTGTTTTAAACATTTAGCCTTTTTCATTTTATAGTGTGGCTTTTCTAATACCGTTGATCAGGCTTGTGCAACCTTCACTCATGGGCAGGGTGGGGGATGGACATATCAATTTTTCTTTCATTCACGGAACTGGTGAGTAAATTTCAGGAAAATCATTTTTACCACCACACTAAGCATGTATTTCAGAAAAAGAAATCAAAACAATAGTTTAACGAGCAATGCATTAAAATGACAATTTAAAAAGTGATAGCAGCAGACTAACTATTAAAACTTTTTTGCTTTTTGGTTAAAAAGCAGAGATGGAGAGAGAAAAAGAGAAGGCTCCGAGACCTTGTTACCAGGCACAGGGTTGGAGACCAGAGTGAGCTGAGGAGTCAGATTTAATTAACACTGACCATGGTCCACTCCTGGTAGCACACATGCCTATCTGGCCTTGGTGGAATTCACACACAAAGTGAGATTGGAAGTGGGTTGCCTTTCACCTTGGATTTTGCTCCTCTCTCTATTTTTGTGGATAGGTTTTTGGGGAGGTAGAAGAAGGAGAAGGGTGCATGCATGACCAGATAATTGATCATTCATTGACCCATTCATCCATCCACACACACTCGTTCTTTCAGATACCCTGCATTTACTCTCACCTTTAACCTCCCTCACCCCAATTCATTCATTCACATTTGACCTTTATGCCACATTTACTCACCATATCAAAACCACACCTTGGCATTCACCCCTGCAACTTAGTCACTCATTCACCCATTCGCTGACCTTGACATATCCTTCAGCCATTCCCTCACTCCGCAGTCTGACTCCCCCAACTTAGTCACTCATTGACTCTGTACCGATCCCCAATCACTCACTGATCCTACTTTCACCTCCAAGTCACTGCCTGTCTCCACACCCACAGCCCCTTGTCATTCATGCACCACTACAGAAGCTTGAGTCTCACTGACCTACTGCACTATCCTGACCCTCATTTCTTGTCCTTCCCATGCCAGAGTCTCCTGTAATACTGCCTGAGACCTGTCTTGCAGACTCACCTCTGCAGTCTCAGTCCTCAGGCTGAGAGAAACCACTCATTGGGGACCAGTGAGCTGCTCAGCAATCATAGACTTTTTCTGTGCAATAACCAACCTGTGACTGGAGGAGCAGCTCCTTTTGTAATTCCAGTTACGCTTACCTGGATTTTGAATAAGAGCTCAAGGCCATGTTGTAGCCCGTGGGCCACTTGTTGGACAAGCTGGCAAGAAGATGACATTCATTCATGCAAAAGACAATTTGTTAAAATTTTTGTTGGTGTTACCACAGGCTCCATGAAGATGCATTTTGCGACCAGCCACATTAATTGGATGTTTTGTTTCAGAACCAGTTTAAGGAGATAGCAGCTTCCCAGGATATATCTCATCCACCTAAACACTCACCTAGCTTCATTCTCCATGACATTAGTTGCCCACAAATCCACTGCCAGGTCTCTGGAAGTTGACCAATTCATTTTCTAGCTAGAATGTAAAAATAAGAGCAGGACTAGCCTGCCTTACTAATTAATAAGGTCATGGCCGATCATCTTCCCCACCCCAATTTCTTGTCCTATCCCATACCTTTAATTTATAAATGTCGAAAAATATCATGAATCTCAGTTTTGAATACAGATATCTCTTGCTTATCACTTTTCATTTTGTATAATTTAATGGTTCTAATGTTAATATTACTTTGGCTCCACACATTCTACTAATGTCACACATTATGTGGGTAGAGATGAGGAGTTCTAGTCCAGCTTTCAGAGGGATCAGATGTATTTGTATCAGTTGCCTAAGGTCCTAATAATTACACCTGACCAAATATAATTATACTTAGTGCCATTAGGCAATTGACCTTCTTGTTAGCTAAGAGCACTGATTTTCTGTACATACTTATGTTAGCGTATCCTTCAACACTAATTATTGGGTCTAAGACAATAGTGGTTTGCTGGCAGTGAGCAACCTCAAACAACCCTTACCCAGTACCACAAACAGAGGTGGCAACTACCACGTGTCCATCTGAGAAAATATCACAACATGTTCCCAAAAAATCACGTGCTAAACAAAAATCACTTTCCAACAAGAAAACATAATAAAGAAGGGTCTGGTTCCTGACCTGTATTTTTATAATAAAAACCTATTGACTGCCTTGACCCTAACTCACAGAAAATCCTCTTGCTAATTTTCTACTGTCAGTAACTTCTACTACGCTCTCTACTTGCTTCCTGTTCGCTGCCTTTCTTTCTCAACCCTCAATCTTCTCACTTGTCACTTACCTCCTTCGACCCTCCCATGTCCTGCTTCCCTCTACTAACTCTCTGACTCCCTCCCTCCTTTTCCAACCCCTCCACTAGCAACCTTCATCCTGGCTTCCCACTCACTGCTACACTCACTACCTTCCTCCTGCTGGTGAGCTGGAAACAGTAAATGTGGGACTTGAGATAGAGGGTATGCAAAATAAAAATGGAGGCAGAGCTATTTGAGGAGTTTTCCTAATTTGCAAACTATGCTAAATTGAAACAATGAGATTAGAATGGGCTTTAAGTGGTGGTGGTGGCTTGGGGTGGGAAATTCAATGGATATTGGATTCACTGTCTTCTTCAATGTTTTCATCACCATTTATGTCTCCACGGAAATATATATTTAACATTCATATACTTGAGGAACTCTTAACAGGCCAATTTGGATCTGGGACAAATCATGTTAAAACTTGGCACAGTATGGAATACCCTGAAATGAAGCTCTAATTAGATTCTGATCTTTTTCCTGCACAAATGAAAGGAATGTTCTCTTCTCCCTGACGTTTGGATTCTGATTGATTAATGTCAATACCCCCTAATGGAGTACCTTGTCAGCTCTACAACACTGCCATATTGGTCAGAACATTGCAGAAGACAATTTTCAGACAGCCTTAGCTTTCTGATGGTCTTTCTACATTTGAATGGTTGAGGCATGGGGCTGCAACAGAGCTATTTTCTTAAAACACTTGTGAAGATAGCAGGTTTGATAACAAAAGACATATTTCCACAGTTAACGTGTAATTAGTTAGCATTATTTGTAGACTGACTAGAAACAGAAAATAAGCCACAAGTAGCTGCTGTGTTTTGGCCTGCCTTAATAAAAGAAAAGCAAAATACTGCAAATGCTGGAAATCTGAAAAAGAAACAAAGCACTGGAGAAACTCAGCACCTCCAGCAGTACATGGAGAGAGAAACCAAGGCAACATTTCAGGTCCAATATGACTCTTCTTTGGAACTGGTCAGCTGGTTACGAAGAAGTCATATTGGGCCCAAAACATTCACTCTGTTTCTCTCTCCACTGATGCTGCCAGACTTGCTGAGTTTCTGCAGTACTTTGTTTTTATTTTAGGCCAGTCTTAACGTCTTGCTCTTTGGAACTAAAGTCACCAAAGTGATTACTTTCAATATAACAATTTGTAAATGTGGGTGTTATTTTACTGTGTTAATATCTTTGCGCACTGGCAAATCTACTGCAGCTCCTTGTTTATTGATGGGCGGATTGCTCACAATGGATGAATGACTAGGGTTTTCCAGATGACAAGTCATGTGTTTCTATACTAATTTACAGGTAAAGAGGAAAGAGCCACCTGATGCTGCCTCCTCGGGTGATCAGAAGAGAATTAGACCATCTACTCCACTAGATGATGATGATGAAGGTTTGTCCACATTTGACACGTTTATATGTATTGAACTGTAGTTCAAGAATGCTTCACACTCAAATTTTCTGAATGACTCTTACATGGGCTGCCCACCCTCTGATCCAGCAGTAGTTACAGGAGTTCATATCAGTCATTGGAATTCCAGAGTACAGAAGCACATTCTCAACTTTTATATTTCACTGTCTCTTCCCCATCTTCAAACTTCCTCAAAACTTTCTCCTTTCTGCCTTTACTTGCCTTCCCTAGCTTTCCCCTACTTGCTGCTCTGTATTATTTAATCTCCAACATATCACCTTGGGTTACTTCATCATATGTAAGATCCTATATTAGTAGACACAAGTTATTTGGTCTGTACTTCATGTAGTTTGTGACTGAAATATTATAGGTACTACAGACACATTTGTGTTACCTGCTGTAAAATGACCTTTGGTAATGTTGCAGTTATGATGTCACAAAATAGATTATGTCACAAATGGACAATTTAACTATGAAGGGTTCAATGAGAACTGAATATATTAGAGAAGATTTATAACCTAACAATAAGGCTGAGAGGTGGTTGTGTGGATATATTGCAATGCAGAGTTCTAATTTCATCCCTTCGTTACTTATGACAGAGTCTGAGCGTGACCGAGACATGTCAGATGTAGCCAGTCATTCTTCTGAATTATCTAAGAGAGACTTGGAATCAGTCACTGAGAGGCGAAAACCAGCAAAACCTTTAAAACTAGACAGTGAAGGAGAGGAGGAAGAGGAAACTTCTGGGAAAGAGGAAGAAGAATCATCATCAGAGAAGGAGGATGAGGAGGAACAGGATGAAGAAGAGGTTTCTGAAAAGGCTTCATCAGAAAAGGTTGGTTTGTTCTAGCGTTTTATATTAAGAGTTAACTCAAACAATTCTACAGTACCAAAACTTGTACAGTCCAGTCTATCAGCAGATTATTCACTGATGGATGCACAACATGGTGCTTTGGTCTCTTCTGGAGCAGACTGGCTTCAACAGTGTTAATTACTTTAGACCAAACTGAGAATAGGTCTGTGAACAGCTTGAACTGAAGTTCAGCACTCTCACACTTAACTGTAAGTAAACTTGACTGCAATAGAGCTAATTAAAAGTGTTTCTGCAATACCTCTCATATCTACTTAATGTCTTTGCTCTGCTTTGTAAGTCAACTGCAGTATGCTACACTTGTGCTATTTTTGTAAACATAGTCATCAGAGGGCTAAGGTTGTTGATGGTTTGATGGATGAAGGAGATTGTCATTAAAAAGAAAGGAAAAACTGCAGTGAAAGTATTCTGGAAAATGTCATTATTGAATGTGTACGTAGAGTCATTTGGTTCTACCACATCTAGTCAGCATCCAGGCTTCCAGAAAGAGCTAATCTGCCTACAAAGATGGTTTCCCATGGGTGTTATATTTGACTGCAACAGAGATACTGACTGAGGACAACCAAAATAATGAGTGGAGAGAGAAGTATTACATTTTCATTACTTTTAAAAGATAAGTCTGTCAGAACTGACTGTTTATTAAAGTTAGGACTACACAGAGAGAAACCCACCCCTTTTCCTATTTCCATCTTTGAAGCATTCTAATGGTGTCGGCCAAGCTGCATATGTGATACACCAACATGAAGGAAGACATTACAGTATTGTTAATTGTTAACTTGTGCGCCATAAATAATTGCTAAATTATTTGGCAATTGGTTTTATTTTTCAGTGGACTGATTATTTTCTGTCATCAATCATATGATGAAATTAATTTTACTGAATATTTTCAGGAGGAAGATGTTGAAGATGATGAAGCAGATGTTGAGACCAGTGAAAAAGAGGGCCTGGATTCTGAAGAAGGTGAGGTCTTAATCAGGCGTTTGGATTGCAGAACATCAGCAACTTTAGTATAAATTTTACTGTGTTAATTATTTTAATTTTCAGTGTACATCTGCACGTCAGGACCATTAGGATAAGGAAATGCAAAATAGCCAAAATTTACTCTCCCCTAAGATTGCACAGCTAAACAGGAGGCATATGATGCATACCAGAATGATGATAGGCCTGTCTGAACACTGAGAGGCTGTAGGATTGAAAATGTGACACTGTTGTTTAGGAAAGGGGCAGAAGGATAACCAAGGAAACTACAGGCCTGTCAACTTGACGTCAATAGTGAGAAAATTGATGGAGGCCATAATATGGGATAAGGTAATTTTAGAAAAAATAAGTTAATACTAGACAGTCAATATGGCTTTATCAAAGGCAGATCATATCTAATAAATTTATTTGAGTTCTTTGGCGAGGTGACACAGGCAGTGGTTGAGAGTACTGCTCTGATGTTGTATATTTAGACTTTCAAAATGCATTGATATGGTGCCTCATTGCAGGTTTGTTAGCAAATTATAAATGTTTGGTATTGATGGGTCCTTGGCAGCATGGATTAGAAGTTGGCTAAAAGATAGGAAACAGAGGCTAGATATAAGTAGGAATTTCTCAGATTAGAGACGAGTTGAAAGTGTTGTTCCCTAAGGATCAGTGTTGGGACCCTTGTGTTTTTTTTTTCTGATTAATGTAAACAATCTGGAGATGGATGTTGATGTTGAGGGCAAAAATCTGTAAATTTGCAGGTGACACTAAGCTAGGGAGAATAGCTAATTATGAAGATGACACTGAGCGACTTCAGGGGTCATTGACAAGTTGGCCAAATGGGCAGACACCTGAGAGAAGAATTGGAATACAGAGAAATGTGAGGTAATGCATTTTGATAGAAGATATGTGGAGAGACAATACAGGTTAAATGATACAACTTTAAGGGGATTACAGGAGTAGAGGGATCTCTGTGTTCATGTGCATAATTCTTTGAATTTGGCCAGGCAAATTGAAATAGTTGTTAAGAAGGGTTATAGGATCCTTGGGTTTATAAATAGACGTATAAAGTGTAAAACAAGGAAATGATGCCACGCCTCTACAAATCATTGGACAGACTACTTTTGGAATATTGTGTTCAGTCTTAGGTACTTTATTTAAAGAAGGATGTTAAAACCTTGGAGAGAGCATAAAAGAGTATTACTAGAATGAGACCAGGAATGCAGGATTTTAGATCCAAGAAAAGGTTAGAGAAATTGGGCTTATTCTTCTTGGAGCAGAGAAGATTACGAGGTGACCTTATTTAGGTGTTCAAAATTAAGAACAATTTTGATAGAGTAAGAAAGGATATTCTGTTTCCACTAGTTGGTACATCAGTAATTAAGGGTTGCAATTTCAAGATTGTCGACAAGAGAGCTAGGTGTGAGATGAAGAGAAACTTTGTTATTCAGGATTGCCAGGATTTGGAACGCGCTGTTTGGGAGCGTGGTGGAGGTGGATTCCACACGATGTTCAAAAAGAGAACTGGGTATATATTTGAAAGTGATGAATTTAGATAGGAATGGAGAATGGATACCTCTTTTGGGAGCTGGTAGAGACACGAATAGACCAAATGGCCGCCTCCTATTATTCTACTTGTTATCCCTGGTTGCAAGAAAGTCCCCACTTCTGATGTTTGAAATTCTAGAAGTAGTGCCTCCCATTTTGAGTCTTCTGTGTTACATTCCATTTTCCCAAATAAGGATTAGCCAGCCTAATTATAGCCTTTAAGTGTCACTATTGCAGCGCCGGGTAGGAAGTATGTGATGGAGGTATAGATTGCTATTCTCCAAATATTGATTTTCCCTCCGTGACTGAAATATAGTGAATTGGATAGCAAGTGAACTTCCTATTATTCTTTTACTGTGCAAGACCTACTAGTGTATAATCGTACTGAGTGCTGTTACTGTAATTGGTTATGCCTTTTTCATTTGAGCTTAGGAGAATGAGGGTGAAACATACAAGATTCTGAGGGGGCTTGACAAGGTAGAGATGTTGAGAAGATGGATCTCAAACTATGCTGTACAGTTACATAATAAGAAGACACTCATTTAAAACAAAGGAATTTATACTCCCAGAAGGTAATGAATGCCTGGAATTCCTGACCCCAGAGAGTTATGAATGCTAGATCACGAAGTATTTAAAGAGAAGGTAGATTTTTGAACCATCAGGCAGAAGAGGGCAATGAGGAACTGGCATGAAAGAGCAGTTTGATCTTTTGAATGGGGAGCAGACTTAAGGAGTCAAATGACCTACTCCTCATATTTCTCTCTTTATGCCCCATGCAGCCTTTTGCTTTCCTTCTGATTTACATAACAGATGCTGCAAATAATATTGCAATCTCTATATTTACAGATGAAGTGATCAGTGTTGCTTCATCCAAAGTAGAAGGGGAATATTCAGAAGACAGCGATGAATCTTCAGAATATGAATCTAGCTCTGAAGATGAAGAGGAAGAGGAGGAGGAGGAAGAAGAGAAAGAAAAACTGCCACTATTACAAGGGACTGAAGTACAGGTGGAAGAAGCAGCCGGAGAAGTGGAAGAGGTAGTCGATGCCCCAAATGATGTTACCTTAGAAACTCCAGCAGAAACTGAATCAAGATTATTACCTGTTTCATCGCCAGAAGGAGTTCCAGGTAGATACAACTGCTAGCTTAATATCTTGTTACAATTAGGAATCAAACTTTGCAGTTTTTATTTGCAAATCCTTTGTTGTGAAATTCTAAATGTCAATCTTCAGATTTTATCAGTGTCATTAAGAAATATTGAAATCCAATTAACATTAGAGTTAGATTCTCCAGTGCAAGGACACAGATACTCTGTGGGAAGTGGGGCTTCTACAAATCTGCTTCAATGTTGGCTGCATCCAAAATATAAAAGATGGGATAATTAGAGTAATTAGGGTGGATATTCATATCCTACTGTTAGGATTCTTTCACTTCGGGACAGGAAGAGCAGTTTCAAAAGATGAGTGATTTGTACCAAATTTCTTTGAGCTCTGCCATCCAGAAGCACAGTTTCCATGCCTAAAAAGTCAGAAAAATTAAGATTAAAAAAAAAGAACTGCGGATCTGAACCAGAAACCGAAATTGCTGCCAAAACTCAGCAGGTCCAGCAACATCTGTGAAAATATCATAGAGCCAGAATTTTGAGCCTGGTGATCCTTCTCCAGAACTGGCAACAGCTAGGAAAATATGGTATTTATGCTGATGACAGTGGAGTGAGCAGATAGGTGGAGAGGGAGCCCAGGGAGGGGGAGAGAGAGAGAGAGAGAAAAAGGTAGGAAGGCAAGGGATTGCTGATAATAAATTAGAGAAGAAGAGAGGTTAGATAGGTGATAAAGGGGACTATGAGCAGGTGAAAGTGGGTTGGCTGTGCTGAAATCAGCCCATTTTCATGACAGGACCGGGGATGTGGCAAGAGGTAAATAGGTGATCTGTTTCAATTTTTGAGGACAGGCTGACGACAGATATCCATTACAAATCCACCAACTCCCACAGTTACCTTAACTATCCATCCTCACACCTGCTTCCTGTAAGGACTCCATGCCATTCTTCCAGTTTTTCCATCCCCGTTGCATATGTTTTAATGATACCACCTTCCACAGGGGGGCCTCAAATGTCCATATTTTTCCTCAACTGAGGATTCCCCATTACCATGGTATACAGGGCCCTTAGCCATATCATCTTCCATGGCTTATTATCAAGCATCTCCTACCTTTCTGTTTCTCTCTCGGAGCTCCCTCTTCACTTATCTAAAACGCCCGCTTAGTCATCAGCATAAATACTACCTTTCTCTCGCTGCTACTAGTTCAGAAGGAGGGGCACTCGACTCAAGACATGAACTGTGTTTTCTCTTCACAAATCCTGCTGAGCTTCTCTAGCAATTTCTGTTTCTGTTTGTGTCAGATCTCTGGCATACACAGTTCTTTGTTGTACTTTAATATGATAAAATGGTTATTTTAACCTGATGGGGCTATATAACATGGTTGGAGACTCATGTGAAGCATAGATGCTTTTATTGACCAGTTGAGCTAAATAGCTGATTTCTCTGCTGTAGACTCAATGATGAAATTGAGAATTTTCTCCTTTAAGATAGAGAATGTTAAGTAGAGATTTAAGAGATGAGTTCATTATTGAGGTGTTTTGATAGTGACGATAGGCAGAAACTATCACCAGTGGGTAGGTAATTGGAGGACAGATTTAAAATTATTGTCAAAAAGCCAGGGAGAAAGCGAGATTTTCTTTGTTCAATGTATTGTTGTGATCTGGAATACATTGCCTGAAAGGATAGTGGAAGCAGATTTAGTCATAAGTTTCGGTTGGAAATTGGATGACTGCTTAAATCAGTAAAAATTGCATAGCTATGGGCAAAGAGTGAGGGATCTTGTTGGGTACTTTCAGAGAGTTGAGGGATGGGGGCAAAGTGAAAAATGTTTTTATTTTTGCCAGTGTCTTAAATCTGCAGGCAGGTTATTACTAAGTAATCTTTATTTGAATGATCCATTCACCTTTCTTGCAGCAGTGGAGCCTGAGACAGACATTGAATTGGAACCTGAAATATCTGAGTCTCAAAAGGCAAACCTCGCTGAGGATGTTCGAACGCACAGGCCACCCACGCCAACAGGAGCCTTTGCTGCTCTTTCTGTTATTAAAGGTAGTGTTCTGAACAAGTCTGATGACAGTGACTCCGAGATGCGTAATAAAATGAAGTTCACCTCACCATCAGCAGATGAGGATGATGGTCTTCCACGCACGCCTGGCAGAGAAATCTCAATCCATTCTGACTCTGACACTTCCATGTCATCCCTTGTCAAACCATCTGTCTCCATACCAGCGATCCCTCCAACACCTGGAAGACAGGAGGTCCCTGTGGTCATCAGATCACCCGTTCCTGAACATCCAGTTTTAGTGAAAACAGCATCTGAAGATGGTCCACCAAGAACTCCTGGGCGTGATTTTGTGGCCGATTCTGCAAAAAGTTTAACAACGTCTCTGAGCACTGAGACCGTTCCACCGACACCAGGAAGTGAAGGACCATTGACAGGAAACAGCTTGATTCTGAGCTCACCTCACATTCCTGGTAGTCCTTTTACATACCCATCTCAGTCTCCTGGAGTAAACTCTGGAGTTCCTCGCACTCCAGGCAGAGACTTTAATTTTTCTGCAGCTTTCCCTGAAGCAAATACTGCTGTATCTCCATTATTGGCATCCAAAAAGCCTTCATTGGATGGAGAAAAAGAAAATCTAATTTCTTCTAGTACATCCCCATTGCTGGGTGTGAATAGTTTGCTACCCCCTTCCCTTCCTGTCACTTTCATTACACCGCCTAATTTCCCACTGGACCTTGGATTATTGTCTGATTCCTCATTGAGTTCATCTATAAAACCCACAATTGTGCCAAATAACAGGGAAAAATTGGAAGACGAAAACAAACCAGAAACTGAGATAGCATTAATTTTGTCAGAACCAGTACCTTCTTTACCTCTCAGCAGTGTTCCAAACCAAAAGATTCCACATCACAAGATCAGCTATGCAAAGGAAAAGCCAGTGTCTCAGCCACCAGTCCCTAGTCTTGATTCCCAATTGATAGAGGAATCAAAGATTAAAGTTGGTAGTAAGCTACAGTCTCCCCTACAGGCCAGCATAATTCAAGCTGATAATAAAGATCTCTATAATAAGTGGAGTGATGATCAGTTTGGTGTGAAAGACCCAGCAGCTGTTATGTTAGACTTTAGGGAAGATGTCTACTTACAAAAGGTTAAACCTTCTGCAGAGGAAAGTGCCATGATTAACACTGATACATTTTGGGACTGTAGAAGCAAAAAACTAAAAGAATCTGATAGGTTGGCTTTGAAAGAACTGCAGATAAAGGTCAAAATTGAAGATGAGGAAGATGATGATGAAGAATATGAAGATGATGAAGATGATAAGCAAGAAAAAGCTAAACTTAGGGAACGATGGACTCGGAGGCATAGGAGAAAACATGAGGATGCTTGGTATGATGATATTCTATCAGCTGAATCTTCACCACCTAGGTCACTATTTAAACCCCGTTCAGAATTTGAGGAGATGACCATTTTGTATGACATATGGAATGAAGGAATGGATGAGGAAGATATTAAATTTATGAAGATTACCTATGACCGAATGCTTCTGCAGGATAATTGCATGGACTGTCTGAATGACACACTGTGGGTTCACCATCCTCATATCCTTTCAAATTATGATACTTGTATTGTGTCTATGGCAACAATTTTTCTTGAGCATGATCACTTATGACTTTTGAAAGAAGATAGTTTTATGCTACATTGCAGATCATTGTCAATTATGTCTCACTTTTAAATTTCTCTGTGTTGATTAATAGACAAGTCAATTAGTGGAAAATAATTCAGCTCTTGTACATATTCTTTAGTTAGAATAACTTAGCTGTTTATTCCTATTCACAGTAATACGTCAGAACATCCCGTGTTGAATATTTTCCTATTCTGTTTCTAATTGTAATGATCACAACCTTGAAGCACTCTCCAATTATTGTGTGGCATTGAATAAGTGGGGGAAATTCAATTTGTGCATACAGAGTTTGAAGCTAAAATGTGAACCAAGCCTTCTGTGGCTGATTTGAAAAATGCATTTTTTAATGTGGTTCAGGTCATCTGTACCAAGATGATTCAATGTCAAGCCCTGGTCTGTACTGAGTTGGGTGTTACATGATAACCACTCCAGTTTACACTCTGTTTCTCCAAGCTAACAATGCAAATAGCAACTCATGTAGACTTCACATTGGAAGAGAAAACATAGATTGAAGGGATGTATCACCCTGTTAAACATTGGATATTCTGCAGTCTTCACCATGTCTACAGGAGTAAATCATTTCCAAGATGCATATTCCATTTCAAATTAAACAACTTTATTTATTCACTCCACAGACACTTTCTGACTTGCTGTATGTTTGTTTTGATTTGAACTTCTCTAGTCTACATTAATGTTCCCTTCCTGTTGCAATGGTACAAATAAACCATTGCAAGACAGAAACTAGCTATCATAAATATTGGTCAGTTTTAACATTTAGTGTTGCTGCAGCAGAATATTAGACATTTATGATGGTATGTGTCTATCTTGTAGAATTACATTTACTAATTAAAGATACGTTTTTGTTTATTTAAATGAAAATCTGAAAGCAGCATTTGCTTTACAACTTTAATTAGTTTAAATACATTTGAGTTCCTTGCCAGCTCTTTATGCCTATTCATCCGTTTCAAAAATATCATCTGACATAGTTTCTGTTAACAAACATTTCTTACTGTAACACATTTTTGAATAATGTCTTCCCAGTCAACATTTCATGTTGAAATTGGTTTTGTCAACGTTTAAAATAGCAAAAGCTTTTTCCAACGTAACTATTTTTAAATGTTGTATTTTGTCGATGAATCAAACAAAATGCTTCTTGAGCAACAACTGTCAATTTTTTCCCCAGAAACTGAAATATCTAATGCCCAAGCTAAGCTTTTAAACAATTTAAAGTAAATTAAAAATACACAGCTTTCATTGCATGTTAACAAATGTACCTTTTTGTTTCTTTTAATGTCTTTTCCAAAAGTTTTTACTTGAAGGCCTCAATTACATTCAAAGGCATTGTTTCCATTCAGATAATCGAGCAATGTGCAGGGTTATAAGGAAAAGGCAGTTGAATGACACCAAGAGATAATGTTCATTCAGAGAACCAGAGCAGACATGATGGGCTGAATGGCTTCCTTCTGCACTGTAACATCTGCGTTTCCACATCTAAATTATCAGCCTTGATCGGAAAATTTTATCTCAACAATTATTCATCTCTGCATTCTGAGCACATATACTTACTGTGTTTCCCAACACGCTATCTGTGCATCTTCATGACTTGGAATTTGCCTCTCGAGAAATTTTTAAAAATTCTTTCCTTTTTCTGAAAGACTTTGAAAGAAAATAGAGATTAAATTCTTAAATCTTCATTTTGAACCAGTCTGACACTAAACTGTCTTTGTTATTATGAATGTAAAAGACCTAAAATTAGAGTAGGTATTGACCTTTTCGGTCACATATGACCGATGTGTTTATTTTAAAAAATTAGTTACTATGTCTATCATTTGAAATTTCAATTTAGGAAAAGTCTAAACTATTTTCAAAACTTAATTTCTTTAAAAACTTAAACTGTTAAACGTGTAAAATACAACTTAATTTTTGATTATTTAGTGGAAATTGATTTTGGGGATTGTACTGGTGCACCCAAAGGTAAATTTCATGTCCCAGTCCATTATATGCAATATATTAATAAGTGCTTTAAGCCATTCTTATCAAGTGTACATTGCTGACTTGCCATAGGTTTGGATAAAGTGATAGCCACATGCATTCAATTTGGTAGAAAACATCATACATTCACTTACATATTTATTAAATTAGGCACATGAATTTTCAGTTTATCATTTTACCAGTTCATCAGTTCATGAACAATTCTACAAAATACCAACAGAAGCCATACAAGTAAGGGTGTTGGTTGTTTCCTAATCAGGAATACAATTAGTTACACTGGAATGCCCAGTTGGGCTCATGGCTAATGTATTGAATGACCTTGTTCTAAAGAAATAATCTAAAGGCAGAAACTAGTTAGCAACAAGAAAAGTGATGGAGGTATTGGGCGGATGGTATGGTCTTCGGGGGCATATACCCAATGGCAGAAAGCAGGCTTTAGGCAGATCAAGCAAAGACTGATGGATGGAAATACAGAAGGGGATTAGGCCCGTCTGTTGGGAAATGGATCAGCTGTAGTTTGCTTCCTAATCGTCTGGGCTGTTCTCCTCTCAAGGCACTTACTGTTGTGGCTATCTACCCCTGCTATCCATCAATTATTGCCAGACTCTGAATATCCTGTACCTTGTTTTTTGTTTAGGCCTCAGCACTCTCATAACTCTCAATTTGCTCTTCAAGAATTCTATCTCCAATTCCCGAGGTCACAGGACCATCTCTGTGCTCACATTCCCAGTTTCTCTCTGATCTTGGAAACTGCAGCAACATTTCAGAATGTCCCCCTATTCTAGCAGCTGGACCTCAAAATTATGGTACACTTGGAAAATCTATTCCACTGAAGCCCCACTACCTACATCCAATGCTTATATTGGTATTCTTGGTGATAATAATTGCCATCACACTGCTGTACTTACTAAACCTTTGACTCTCGGCATTGCCACATGTGACGTGCTTCTGTTAATTCTAATCTTGCATGTTGTGCATACTTTGTTTACTTCCAATTGAATATTTTCTATAAATGCTTACATGCAAACCTATAAAATGCAGAAAAGTCTTCACTAAGCATGTCTGCATTCATAGTAGAAAAGCTTAACCTAACATTTTAGTTGCAAACTAAGTAATCATTTTGCCATTATGGTTTGTTAATTAACCAAAATGCTTCATCATTTTTAAAAATTTCATCCCTGTCTATCACACTGCTGCATGTTGGTTTTATTAAGGAATGTTTAGAGAATGTATTAAGTGAAGTAACACGAGCATACACATTATTTTCACATCCCAGTATGAATTTATTTTAAAATAAATTAGTTGAATTTTAGAATCAAACAGAAAACATCTATATTATATAGATGGTTAGAAAATGTGAATATTCCAATTGCAGTAAGAGACACAAATGAGAGACTGGAAAGATATCAATAATAAACATAGCAAAGATTCAGTCATATACTTCCAGGAACCAACCAGTAATCACTAAACTTAACTTAGAAAGTTATCAACCAGTGTTGTGTCCTGGATGCCTCAACTTCTGCTATTAGGAAGCATTGATGTTACTCCCATCCCCTTACTCCCAATACACTCATGAATGCAATTATCAGGAATCCACCAGTGAGTCAAATTGCATTCCAACCACAAGACTACTAAACATTGCATTCCACTACCATTGATGCCCATCTCCTAGACCCATACCAACAATTTAATGTCATTGCTGTCAAATCTTACTATTCTAGGAGTACAAAGTATTGGAGCACCTCCAGTATAAGCAAACACTGCTCCCACATGTCCTCCTGCTAGATATTAGATAATTAATTCAAAAATAATGCATTGATAAAGAAGCATAAAGGTTGATTACCGCAGAATAATGGATTCCCATAGAACTTTACCCCCAATGCACTAATATAAAAAAAAAGCCCTAACAATTATAAACATGATATTTGGTTTATTCAGCAAATCAGTAATCTGACCTTTTTCTTCCTAACATGACACAAACAATCCCAGTTAATGAAGTAGCATATCCTCCAAATCATAATGCAGTAAAAGTGTTAATATCGTTTATAACATCCTGCCTAATTATGTTTTTAATTAATTTAGCAGAAAATTACTTGTATCAATTTGTGGATTTTTTATTTTGAGGGTACTTTTTATAATTTGGCTACCATCTATGAGGAAGGTGAAAGTGGAGATGTTCAAATATTTCAGATGGAAATTGAAGAGATACTCGAAGAAACAAACTTGCAGGGTTATGAGGTTGATCGGGAGAAATGGTACTGACTAGGATGCTATACAGATAGCCGGTGTTGATGGGACAAGTGGCTTCTGTCTGTGTTGTTATGACTCTGTGACTCTGACTTGTAGTTCAAAGCAAGACTATGAGAAAAGCTCACTGTTTTAAACCTCTTTTGGTTAGAAAGTTACCTGTTGCATTTCAGAATTTCTCCTTAACATTGTGCACATACTTATAGTTCCACTATTAAGAAAAAGAAAAAAGAAGACGGAATAAGGGAGCATGTCACAGGCTGTGCCCGCAGTGAAGGCTATTACAAAATCAGTAACAAGGACAAAGCGAAATACCTCAACATCAGTGGCACATTAGCCGATGAGCCACCGACTGACACACAAGTAAGATTACGAAGTAGAGAGAACATTTGAAATTGATTCCAATTCCCTAATATTTGCCAATTCCTTTCTCCAGACTTGCTTTATATTTGAAGTTCAAAGTTAAATTCTGAAGCAACTTTAGAACTCGCGCGGCAATTTCTTTTAATATGCAGCTTGATTATTGACTAAAACAATTCCATTGATTTTTTTTTTCCCCTGGGTGTTGGGTTCATTCAAGCTAAACTAAATTGCTTGGTGTATTTCTGTAGTGTGTGGAACTAGTGACTGTGTTGTCTCCCCCTGCTTTTAATTGTTTTAATAGGGTTGTGGGGATTATTAATTTACACATGTGAAAGGAGGACGTTAAGTTTGCACTATTTTTTAAATGCTAGATCTGCACATGTGCAATGGTCATAAACATTCTATGTTTGAGATGTTTGATTTCACACTTGCTGTTTACAATTCAGAGTTTAGTTTTAATACCTTGAAACAGGTCATCACTTGCTCGTTGTAGAGCTGTTCTAGATCGCAATGAAGTATCATTGTGTGTGTGTTACAGTAGATTTACCAGCGTATGTGAATACCCTTTAAAGAATGTCATGGCCTAAGTATGGTATTCTATTAATCGATTGAAAAGACCAAGTGGAGTAAAATGTTGTGACAGTTTACTGTTGTGCTAATTAGTGCATGTTAGTAGTTTCTCTGCAAACTTTTCTATCAAGTAAACAGTATTTGGTAGTTGCATAAAAATGAGTTATGTATTATTGAGGTGGTATATTGTATGGTTTTTAAAATACTTTTTATTCATGCATGGGACGTGGGCATTGCTGTTTGGCCAGCATTCATTGCCCATCCCTACTTGCCCTTCTGAAGGTGGTGAGCCACCACCTTGAACCACTGCAGTGGGTTGTGCTGTGGGTTGACCTACAATGTCATTAGGGAGGGAATTCCAGCATTTTGACCCACTGACATCGAAGGACTAGTGATGTATTTCCAAGTCAGGATGGTGAGTGGCTTGGAGGGGATCCTACATATGGTGGTGTTCCCATGTATCTGCTGCCCTTGTCCTTCTAGATGGAAGTGGTCATGGGTTTGGAAGTTACTGCCTTAAAATCTTTGGTGAATTTCTGCAGTGCATCTTGTGAACAGTACACACTGCTGCTACTGAGTGTCAGTGGATGTGGTGCCGATCAATCAGCCTGCTTTGTCCTGGATGGTGTCAGGCTTCTTGAGTGTTGTTGGAGCTGCACCCATCTAGGCAAGTGGGTGTATTCCATCACACTGCTGACTTGTGCCTTGTCGATAGTGGACAGACTTTGAGCAGTCAGGAGGTGAGTTACTTCCTGGCCTCTGACCGGTTCTTGAAGCAACTATATTTGTACAGCAAGTCCAGTTGAGTTTTTGATCGATAGCAACCCCAAAGATACTAATAGTGGTCAATTCAGTGATGGTAACATCGTTGACTGTCGAGGGGTGGTGGTTAAATGATGTCTCATTGGTGATGATCATTACCTGGCATTTGTGTAGCGCTAATGTTACTTGCCACTTGACAGCCCAAGCATGGATATTGTCTAGATTTTGTAGCATTTGAATATGGGCTGCTTCAGTATCTGATGAATTGTAAATGGTCCTGAACATTATGCAATCATTGGTGAACTTCTGGCTGAAGATTGCTGTGAATGCTTCAGCCTTGTCTTTTGCACTAATGTGTTGGGCTCTTCCCCCATTGAGGATGGGGATATTTGTGCAACCACCTCCTCCAGTGAGTTGCTTAATTGTCCACCACCATTCACGACTGAATGTGGTAGGATTGCAGAGGTTAGATCTGATCTGTTGGTTGTGGGATCGCTTAGTTCTCTCTGTCACTTGCTGCTTGTGCTGAGTGGTATGCAAGTAGTCCTGTTTGGTGGCTTCACCAGATTGATACCTCATCTTCAGGTATGCCTGGTGATGCTCCTGGCATGCCCTCCTGCACTCTCCATTGAACCAGGGTTGATCCCCTGGCTTGATGGTAGTGACTGAGTTGGGATATGCCCGGCCATGAGGTTACAGATTGTATTGGAGTACAACTCAATTGTTGTTGATGGCTCTCAATCCTTATGGATGCCCAGTCTTGCTAGATCTGTTCAAAATCTGTCTCATTTAGCACGGTGATGGTGCCACATAACATGATGGAGGGTATTCTCAATATGAAGGAGGGATTTCATCTTCATAATGACTGTACGGTGGTCACTTTTACTTATACTGTCATGGACAGATGCAGCTGCAGCTGGCAGATTGGTAAGGATGAGGTCAAGTATGTTTTTCCCTCTTGTTGGTTCCCTCACCACCTGCTGCAGACCCAGGCTATTAGCTATGTCCTTTAGGACCTGGTCAGCTCCATTAGTATTGCTGACATTGAAATCTTGCCCTCGAGTGTACATTTTGCACCCTCGCCACCCCCCGTGATTCCTCCAAATGTTCAGCATGGAGGAGTACTGATTCTTCAGCTGAGGGAAGACGGTGCCTACTAATCAGCAGGGAGTTTCCTTGCCTGTGTTTCACCTGAAGCCATGAAACTTGATGGGGGTGAGAAGTCAATGTTGAGGACATGTTCAAACCTTTGAGTAGAGGAGTTGGGACGTCATGTTGAGGTCGTACAGGACGTTAGTAAGGCCGTTTCTAGAATACCGTGTGCTGTTCTGCTTGCCCTGTTATAAGAAGGACACTATTAAACTCGGGAGGATTCAGAAAAGATTTACCAGGAGTGGAGGGTTTGAGTTATAAAAATAGACTATATAGACTGAGGTCTTTTTCACTGGAGCGAAGGAGGTTAAAGGGTGACCTTATCAAAGTTTATAAAATTATAAGGGGCATAGATAAGGTGAATAGCAAAGGTATTTTGCCTGAAGTGGAGGAGTTCAAAACTAGGGAACATGTTTTTAAAGTGAAAGGAGAAATATTTTGAAAAGGACATGAGAGCCAACTTTTTTTTTTTACAGAGTGATTAGTGTATGGAATGAACTGCCAGAGGAAGTGGTGGATGCAGGAACAGTTACAACATTTAAAAGACATTTGGATAAGTACATGAGTAGGAAAGGTTTGGAGGGATATGCGTTGGGAGCAGGGAGGTGGGACGAGTTTAGTTTGGGAATATGGTTGGCATTAACTAGATGGCCTGAAGGATCTGTTTCCATGCTGTATGACTCCCAGTGTAACTCCCTCCCAAATATTTGCCACTGTGCCGCCACCACTGCTGGGTCTGTCCTGCTGGTGGGACAGGATGTATCCAGGGATGGTGATAGTGGGTCTGGGACATTGTCTCTAAGGTATGATTTCCGTGAGCATGACTATGTTGCTTGACTATTCTGTGAGATAGCTCTCCCAATTTTGGCACTAGCCCCGGTAAGGAGGACTTTGCAGGGTCTACTGGGCTGTTTCTGCCATTTGCCTAGGTCAGTGCCAGGTGGTTCATCCAGTTTGATTTCTTTGTTGAGACTTTGTAGCGACTTTGTAGCGATGGATACAGCTGAATGGCTTGGTAGGCCATTTGAGAGGGCAGTTGAGAGTCAACCACATTGCTGTTGGTCTGGAGTCACATGTAGGCCAGACCAGGTGAGGATGGTAGATTTCCTTCCCTGAAGGGCATTAATGAGCTAGGTGGGTGTTTTTTCCCAATAATCAACAATGGTTTCATTGTCATTACTAGATTCTTACTTCCAGATATTTTTTATTGAATTCAAATTCCACCATCTGTTGTGGCAGGATTCAAACTCAGTTCCCTGGAACATTAGCTGTTATTTCCTCCTGAATAAAGAATTGTGACCCCCTAATAAAAATCAAAACCAGAGCCCTGAACATAATGGCAAACAGTAATGGATTTTTTTCTTATTTCTGTGATCAAATTGAGTTATGTTGTGAATATATGTAAAGTATATATTCTGTGTTGCTTCATCTGAGTAACACTGTTCTCCCATTCCTCATATGGTTAGTAAGTTTGCGATGACTCCAGAATTGGTGGTATAGTCGACTGTGAAGAAGATTATCTAAGATTACAAAGAGATCTTGATCAATTGGCCAATGGGCTGAGGAGTGGCAGATGGAGTTTAATTTGGATAAATGTGAGGTGTTGCATTTTGGTAAAACTAATAAGAGAAGGAGGTATAAAGTTAATGGTAGGGCCTGGGTTGTGTTGTTGAACAGACACCTGGGGTACAGGTACATAGTTCTTTGAAAATTGTGTCACTGGTAAACAGGGTGGTAAAGAAAGCATTTGGCACACTTACCTTCATTGTTCAGACCATTGAGTATAGGAGTTGAGACGTCATGTTGCAGCTGTACAGGATTTTGGTGAGGCCATTTTTGGAATATGTGTACAGCTCTGGTCACCCTGCTGTAGGGAGGATATTATTAAATTGGACAGGGTTCAGAAAAGATTTACCAGGATGTTGCCAGAAATGGAGGGTTTGAGTTGTAGGGAGAGACTGGACAGGCTGAGACTTTTTTCACTGGAGTGTAGGAGGTTGAGGGGTGACCTTATAGAGGTCTATAAAATCGTTTAAGGTAAATAGCAACGGCCTTTTCCCTAGGGTAGGAGAGTTCCAAACTGGAGGGCATATTTTTAAGGTGAGAGGAGGAAGATTTAAAAAAGACCTGAGGGCAGTTTGAATATGGAACGAAATGTCAGAGGAAGTGGTAGATGCAGTTACAGTTAAAACATTTAAAAGGCATTTGGACAGGTATATGACTGGGAAGGGTTTAGAGGAACATTGACCATATGCAGGCAAATGGGACTAGTTTAATTTGGGGAAACTTGGTCGGCATGGATGAGTTGGACCAAAGAGCCCGTTTCCATGCTGTATGACTCGATTTAATGTTGCTGTTTCCATTTTTTCCTTTGCCAGTGATTCAGAGTTATTGGCACTGTTTCCATTTCATGGCACTGTTCTGTGGGATTGGACTCTGCCACAGGATATGCATGAGGATCATAATTCTTGTTAAATTGTGCACTGATTTCCAACCTGCAGTGTGAATCGTTGTTGAGTCCCCTACACCATCAGTCAGGTAGGATCCAGAATTGGCAGTGAGAAGTCTGTCGAGCAGTAGAGGAGAGTGATTTTGATAGATTCCATGATTTAAAAGTGGCACTGAATTTTGTTAATGACTCTGAACATGGTACCTGTTGTATTTTGGAGATGTTTTATTTGTTTGTTAGATTGCTGTAAAGCTCAATATCACAAGGTGATGAAAGCCAATCACTTGCATGATAATCAGCAACAAAAATAGTGCATAAGGCAAATAACTATTTATACAAACTCTTCAGATTTAGTACAGGAGTGAAGTATGTTTTACAGAACCAAAACTAATAATGTGTTTTCTTTCAAACAGGGAATGAGTATTCCAGCACAACCACATGCTTCCAGTCGAGCAGGCTCAGAAAGGCGGTCAGAGCAGCGCAGACTCCTCTCGTCCTTTATGGGTGGCTTACCTGCAGATAGTGATCTCCTTAAATTTAATCAACTGAAGGTTTGTGATCTCCGTTCCATTCATTTTGGTGGTAGTTTCTAAAGCTTTCCCCAGAACAGGATCTAAGGACAAAAGACGTTTCAGTCCCACCATATGTGTTCATCCGCATTAAAACTAAACCATCTGCTACCTCAAAATTGAATGTCCTGTTTGTATAGGTGAACATAATGCATATGCCTTTTGTTAAACCACTGATTTTCTTAATATTACCCTGATCTTTTTCAGTTAGTTATTCATTTTTATTTTAAAATGTTTAAGTCTCTTGAATGTTTTGCTGAAAATTGTCCGTAAAACATTTTTTTAAAATTTATTTCCTTCTTTATTTGCTTTTCCTAAAATTATTCAATTATTTTTGCTGGTGTGTGGTTTCATAGGTACTGAACTCTCCCTGGTATCTTCCCCAAATGACAGTTTTGAGTAAGGACAGTGAGTGTCAACAAGTTATATAAATGCTGAGCTTGATTCCTGTGCAATTAGCCAAAGCCTAAACCTAAAAAGCTGCTCTCAGTGCCCTTCCTCAGACTGGATAACCCAGCACGAATTGGAGGAACAAATCTGCAGTCCACCTACTGTGTGGACTTTGTACTATTACTATCCCAGTCTATATTAGAATAATTAAAAGGGCAGAGAGACACACAGGTTTCTCAAGTTTATTCAGCAGAATTATCTATATAGTATGTTTCCAATCCAACAACAAAGAAGACATTGCAGGAGTGGGTAGGGAGAATCTGTTCCTTTTAACTGGAGGATACAGAACTAGAAGACTGACAAAGTTAGATGATTGAAGAAAGAAGCAACAGCAACATGAGGAAAGCATTTATGCACTTCAAGTCGGTAGGATCTGGAATTCACTGAAAGAGATTGTGGTGGCAGCAGATTCAAACAAGGCCTTCAAAAGAGAATTGGATAATTGTCTGAAAAGAAAAAAAAATGCTGAACTGTGGGGAAAATGTGAGGTAGAGGGACTAAGTGATTTGCTCTTGCAGAGAGCTGGCATGGACATAATGGGCTGAATGTCCTGTGTTGTAACTGTTCTAGGTAGGCATTACCACAAGATAAGCATTTATTGCCTATCCATAAATTCCCTTAACTGGGTAGTCTGCTAGGCAATTTTAGGGCGAAGTTAATAATCAGTCACATTGTTGTGAGCCTGGAGTAACACAAAGGCTGAACCAGCCAAGGATGACTGATTTCCGTCTGTAAATGATATTAATGAACAAAATGAGTTTAATGACAATCCAGTAGTGAGGTGGTCACTGTTATTGATACTTGCTTTCATTCCAAATTTATTTATTAACTGAATTTAAATTCCACAACTCCTAATGGCTATGCTCACATTCTCTATCAAATTGTGTACAATTGTGAAATAAGATATGGATCATAAACAGTACTTTGTTTTATGCATGGCTGTGTTTTAGTTATCGATGCTTACAGAAGGAGTTTTTTTTTTCAAGGAGATGAGAAACCTGTTTTAATTGCACCTTGTCACTAACAGTTCCGTAGGAAGAAGCTGAGATTTGCCAAGAGTCATATCCATGAATGGGGGCTTTTTGCCATGGAACCTATTGCAGCAGATGAAATGGTCATTGAATATGTTGGACAAAACATCAGACAGGTAAGAACTTGTTTATTTCTCACTGTATGTTTATCTCCTTTTAGGTTTGCAGAAATGTTCGGATCTCTGTAACTTGTAACACCAAAATTTGCTTCTGACACACACACACACACACACACACACACACACACACACACACACACACACACACACACACACACACACCG